TTGAAGAGTTCGACTGAATCTCAAGTTGGCGAAGCTTTTTTCAATCAAGTTGTGGCTTTGTCTCAAGCTGGTCTGCTGTTATTGGCTAATGCTAAAAAGAATGCTATATATGTGGTGCATTTAGATTATGGTCCTAACCCAGCAGCAACTAGGATGGATTACATTGCAGAGTTTACTGTCACCATGCCAATACTTAGTTTTACTGGAGCAAGTGACATATTACCACACGGTGACCAGAAAGTTCGGGTTTATTGTGTTCAGACACAAGCCATTCAGCAGTATACTTTGGAGTTATCTCAGTGTTTACCTCCTCCATTAGAGAATATCATGTTTGATAGGTTAGAATCTAGTGCCTCACGCGATGGAACTAGTGTTGAAGGATTTTCTCAGATGGAAACTTCTGGAAGTAAACCAATAGAGTTACCTAAATCTGTTAGTTCTGCACCAAAGCTACCGCCAAGTGAAACTAGTTCTCAGAGTGCACCATCTGGGAGACGTTATCTGAGCCCTGCTGGTACTGAGATAACCACTTCACAAGGGTTTGCTACTTATAGCTTGGAAAGTAATCCAGACACCATCTCTATCACAAATACTGATGCGGATGTTGTACCTGATTCATCTGCTCCACTTCCTGCGAGTCCTAGGTTACCTCATGAACTCTCTGGTTTCAGAAGTTCTTCAAACAGCTTTGAATCCACCCCTATTAGTGATCATGGGGGTGATTCAAAAGTGGTTGAATATTCTGTAGACAGGCAAATGGATCCCATCCATGCCTATTCGTCTGATGTAGGCTCCTTCATCGACGATGCTAAGAATGATGAAATCAAGGCTTTCCATGGAGATGCTTCCTCAGGTCTCAATCACCCCGTAAAGTTCAAGCAGCCCACTCATCTGGTTACTCCTGAGTTATTGAGGGACTCATCTTCTGAAATGAATCACATTGTTGAGCAGAAGAGTGATGAAATACAAGATGTGATGATGAACAATGAAGCAAGGAACGTGGAAGTGGAAGTTAAGGTTGTTGGTGAATCACGATTTAATCAATATAGTGGCATCGGTTCTCTAGGAAAACTGCAGGATTTTGTATCAGACAATAAGGATAAAACATTTTGCTCTCAAGCATCTGATCTTGGTATGGAAATGGCAAGAGACTGCTCTGCATTGTCACCAGAAACCTATATCACTGAGGATTCTAGGCAATGTGATGGGGCCATTGTAAGTGAGAATTTGGTCCAATCAGCAAGTAACCAAGAGGAGCAAGGCTCTACAAATAATGTCTCTGGAAGGGAATTAGATGCAAAAATGCCTGCCCCTGTTATACAACCAACTGAAGCTAGTACAAAAGGAAAAAGACCAAAAGGGAAGAATTCTCAGAGTCATGTGCCACCATTGGAATTGCCTAGTTCTTCTGAAACAACAGATTCCTCTACTGAAACAGGTGTCACAGTAAGTATCTCCTCCATGGAAGCTGCATTTTCCCAGCTGTCGTTGATGCAAGAGAGTCTGAATCAGGTACCGATACCATTATATCCTGTCATATTGAAGATCTATCATTCTATTGGTTCATTGCATTTGCTGCACCTACTTGCTATGAATATAATTCACTATTCCTTTCCTTGCAGCTCATGACAATGCAAAAAGAAAGTCAGAAGCAGATGGGAACGATGGTTGCCAATCCAGTTAACAAAGAAGGAAAACGGCTTGAGGCAGCCATGGGACGCAGCATGGAGAAATTTACTAAGACCAACATTGATGCTTTATGGGCTCGTTTTCAAGAAGAATTTGCAAAGCATGAGAAGTTATCACGTGACCGTACTCAACAGATTACTAATTTAATCTCAAACTGCGTGAACAAGGACGTTTCAGTAGTAGTGGAAAAAATAGTGAAGAAGGAAATAGGTTCTGTTGGACAAGCTGTTGCACGAACTTTAACTCCTATAATAGAGAAAGCACTGTCCTCAACTCTTTATGAATTTCATCAGGTAGATTTGGTAAATGTTTAATTTTTAAATTCTATCCGTGAGTGTATATATATGCCAGGGTTTACTCGATTCTCTGTGATGCAGAAGGGTGTGGGTGACAAAACAGTGAGTCAACTGGAGAAAGCAATCTATTCCAAACTTGAAGCTACTGTGGCCAGACAACTCCAGGCACAGTTTCAAACTTCTGGAAAGCAAGCGCTTCAGGTAAGCTTACATACACTTGTTAAAATCATGGTTTTCAAAAGTGTTCGAGGTGCACCATGTTACTGCCTTGAAACGCCAAGGTACTATGTTTAACACTCAAAGGCTTAAGCCTCATACAGGAATTTGAGGCTTACGCCCCTGTCCAGTGTCCACAGAGAGACAATATAGGTCCAAGACTGAGATGAGCGCCTTGAAGTTTTTTCTATTTCTTCTTTTTTTCATTTTTTGTGTTCTGTACTTTGGTTGGCTCTTCTTTTATCGCTGTTTCATGAATTTCTGATTTTTTTCCTTTGGTTTCATTATTTTTCCTGTGTTGGAGTATTTCTTGTGTACAGCCTGGCTGTACAAAATTAATTATGTACTGTAGTATATTACATAAAGTGAAACAAACCAGATGAGCTTCAAATGGAATATGGGTTATGGACTTTTGGGTTGTTATGTGGATAGTTTCTATACTATTCGGCTTAAAGTGTACGCAAATAAAACTCCCTTTTTCCTTATCGCTTTGACCGTGAGTGATTTTTAAGGAAGTGTAGAAATTGTATTGGTTTTCCCGAAATGCCCCTAAATCATTCTACTCCTATAGTCATCCGCCCCCAAACCCTTCACCCCCAAATCAGAACTTCTCCAATTCAAACAATCTCATATGGAAATTGAATGGTTCTTCAATTCTTCGTAGCTATGATTGTGGACTGAAACCACAAAGCACCGCACATGGTCTCAAACTATAATTATATTTATTATTTTGTTGGAAAGATAGTTTTAGTATTATACTCACTCCCCCCAAACTATAATTATATTTATTATTTTTGTTTCAACATTGCTGGGCTGCAGCATATGAGACTTGTTTGGTTTCCTATAAGAAATAGGTCTTTTCACGGATAATGATTTAAGAGGAACAGTGCACAATAAATTATGCACTGTAATTTCACGCATATAGATTAATTGCTTTGCATATATTGTGCAGGAATCATTAAAATCAACTCTTGAAGCTTCAGTAATCCCTGCATTCGACATGTCATGCAAGGCAATGTTTGAGCAGGTTGATGCTACATTTCAAAAAGGAATGGCTGAACATGCTGCTGCAGTTCAACAACAAATTGAGTCCCTGCATTCTCCTTTGGCACATGCTTTAAGGGTATTTTCCAGTCTAGTGCTGTTGCCAACACTTTAATTCCTTAAAAACTTCTGTTTTCTTTTAATTTTATTTGTTATTGGACTAGAATGTTCTGTTGAGCTCATCATGTAGAACTGCAAAGGTCCCCGCCTAGAGAACAGTATGGTGACTGCTAAAACAAGAACTAGTTTCTTTTTTTATCATGGATGAATATGTGAATTTTGTGGGGATGTTGCATATGGAACAATGAAAAGATTGGTGATCACATTGAGAGAATTTTATTGGTTCATGTAGCTGGCACAGTGGTTTTGAGATTAAGGATCTGTTATTGTTGCTTTTTGTTGTGGAAGATTGCCATTTTCATTTTTGCAAAATGCATTCAATATGGAAAGACATGACACAAGTTTTTGACCATTTCTCTTTACTAATGAGTTTGGCTAAACTTCAGGATGCAGTCAATTCAGCGTCATCACTGACTCAAACACTAAATGGCGAGCTTGCTGAAGGTCTGAGAAAACTGCTGGCTTTAGTAAATTCCGAAGCAACAAATCCAATTGTCGGGCAATTATGTAATGGTCCCATGCTCCAAATTGAAAAGGTTTTTATCAGCTACCCATATGTATTTTCTACTTTTTTTTCTTCTTTTGCTAGGTACTTTGTTGTATTCTAAATGCCAAATACCCTTGACTTATTCCGTCTATCCTGTGCTTGGCAATTTTTTTCCTTTTGCTACATCCATTGCAGTTTGAGGCACCCCCAGATCCAACGAAGGACTTATCTAGATTATTAGCAGAGCAGAAGTATGCAGAGGCTTTCACTTCTGCTTTGCAAAGAAGTGACGTGTCTATTGTATCATGGCTATGCTCTCAGGTATATGTTGTCTACTTATGTATGTAGTTGTAATATTAAATATGATTTCTGTCTCACACTTCTGTTGGTTTGTATCCCAAATGTTGCCATTGGGATGCATTGCATTTAGCCATTTATACTGTGACCTATTTTCATTACGTTTTTGCTATGTGCAAATCAAATATTGCTGTCATTGCCTATATTCTAGTATACTCTCTAGAATAATATGATCATTCTCTCTCTCTCTCTCTCTGTTAGTGTGTCTTGTTTTGTTTCTTTAAAAAGATGTTAATATCTGCCAGGTTGATTTACTTGGAATCGTGACGAGGAATCCTTCCCCTTTGAGTCAAGGAGTACTCTTATCACTTCTCCAGCAGCTTGCATGTGATATTAGCAATGAGACAGGCAAGAAACTAACTTGGATGACACATGTGCTGTCAGCGATCAACCCAAGTGACCCGATGATTGCCATGCATGTACGCCCCATCTTTGAGCAAGTCTTTGGCATTGTGAACCACCACTACGGCCTTCCAACCACCACTGTATCCGAGCAAACCAACATTCGGTTAATTCAGATGGTAATAAAGTCCGTGTGCCAACTGTAAATGAATTTCTACACCCACAGCATGTCCAAGATCTGCCCAACCCAGAAGAAGGTTGTACATATCCTAGGGATATCTATATAGATATATAGAGGAGCCCTGTTCTNTTTTGCTTTGATATTTTCAGGTGAAATATGGTAGTTTGTGGATATTGGAGTTTGAGGTTTCTCTCTCTCTCTCTCTCTCTCTCTCTCTCTCTGGATTAATGCTTATATACATAGATTCCTTTCTGAACTGGGACATGGTATTCCTTTAACATCTTTGCTGTGTTAATTGTTTTTTTTAATTTTAATACAATGCGTAATTGCATATAATGGCTGGAGTTATATTGTCTCCTGTAATCATGGGGGAATTTGTATGCTACTAGATATTAAAATGTCTATTAGTGCACATTTAAAGAGTATTTGTTTTTTTAATCAAAGGAGACATTATTTTCATACAAGTCATTTGTGTTTGTTGGTTGTGAAAAGAAGTTTCATTTGTTCCTCATATCTATAGAAAGTGATAGGTACATTGTTTGATAATTTGGACAATTAGTTAGTATCGTTTGCATCCCCGGCAATACAAGTAGCCCTAAACATCAGCATGGAGCAACAAACCAGCATTACTCTGAATGTTTCCTTGAGCCAAAATTAGTGAAGCACTTGGACTTGGTTTTGAAGGTTTATAATGTTTGCTCTTAATCCATGTTCTTGATTTGATGATGCTTTTCTTTCTTAACCTCAAACCTCTTCTTTTCTTTAACCGAGAGGTTTGAAGAGCTTCGGAAGGAGATCTGAAGGAACACTCTGTAGAAACTACGTACATCTCCAGAGAGAGGTGGATCGAGGTTCTCAATGTTTTTTTTTGATATTTTCTTTTGCAGAAGTAAACCCGATAAATGCACAAAAACTAAGAAAAGTAAAGCGCAAAAGAACACACAATCTATACGGGTTTAACCTAATGCACATACCCAATACCCGAATAAACGTGTTTGAGATTTTACTATCTCAAGCGTCAAACATAACGGGTTTTTTAGTCCTTAAAATTTGAGAATATACCTGATTTCACAAAATGTTTGAATGTTTTCATGAATTTGAAGGTAATCACAATTCCTGAGTTTACAAATTCTTACAACACAGACACAGGATAAAGGGAATATTCCATCTTTTTTCTTTGTTTCAAAATAGTTAAACCTATTTTTGTGGTGATAATTAGATTATTTGGATAAGCATATTTTAATCATATTATTTTGTTTTGTGTTGAATTAAAGTGTTGATTATGCTCAAATTAAGAATTTTAGTTCTAAAATTAAAATTTTTAAAATTCTTCCATTTTAATGAGTTGAATATTTATTTGAGATAAATATGTTAGTACTTTTATCATTTTATAGTCTTATAAAATATAATTCCGAGGCAAATAACCCCATACCCCCGTAGTCTGTTGTCGCGCCCCAAGATACTTGATCCAAACTTTGGCAAATTCTTACGTGGAAAAAAGTCCGTACCCATTTTATAAATGAACCTTAGTACATTTGAAGCATAAAAAAAGTGTCTTTTGCAAAAAAGAAAATATCTACAGGCAAGCTCATGAAAAATGTGAAAAGATTTACATTTTAAATGGGGCTTCAAAACTTCTCCCTGCCACATCATCTTTAATGGCCCTTTACATCATAATTTCACTGGAAATGAGTTTGAAGTTTTGAGGCTTCAAACCTTTTTTTTACATTTTTAATAGACATTTTGTAAAAATAAATTAATAATATTTCATTAATTAATTGAATTTAAATGAGAATAATTCATTAAATAAAAAATAACATCTAATAAAAAAATAACATTAAATTTTTTTAAAAAAATACATTAATAAAAAAACTAAGGCAAATTGTATTTGGCCTTCATCTCTTTTTGTCTTCTCTCGGAATACATAAGTTTGAAGCCCGTTAACGTATCAAAGACGGTTTCCATTATTTCGAGCTCCTCGTTCTCTTGCCTTTGTTTCTCCCTCTCCTCTTCCCTATAATTGAACACCTGCATTTCAACCATTGTCCGGCCGATATCATCGTGAGAGGAAACATAGTCGGAGTGTCGTACCCTACATAACTCGAGGCAATGAATGTTACCTTCTTTCTTCCGATCGGTCGTGGAATGGGGTCCTGGTCATCGAAGTCATCTAGGTTGAAGGGAAGTCTTTGTTGCGACGAGTCGATAGTTTCATCGGCTCCAATCTTGGTGGAGGATCTTTTCTTTTACGATCCGGTCTCGAGGCTATTGAGTTGTTGCCATTTCGGTGAACGGCTTAAAACTCACCACAGATCAACGCTGGTCTTGCCTTGATGTTCGTCGTCTTGATACCAAGCAGTGATTTACCATAGAACATTATCATTGTTTATCCCGATCATCTAGGACTGAAAGCATTCCTCGTAAACTTTGATAAACTTTTATACTTTTCGGTTGATGTGACCCCATTTAGAAGTAAGTTGGTCTCAGATTTAGTAAGAGGCATCCTTGTTCATCGCCGCAAAAAACTTCTCCTCGATACGATCCCACATCACATTCTTTGTTTGCTCTAAACCTTAAAGAAATATATAATTGAAGGAAAAAAATATAGATAAAAAAATATAGATAAAAAATATATATAAATTTACCAACGATAGATAATTAAAGGAACATACATACAATATAGATAATATATATATATATATATATATATATATATATATATATATATATATATATATATATATATTACCAACGATAGGATACTCCGAATGATTAATACAAGTGGATGCCAACAACGATTCTTCCTCCAGTGTCCACTTTTGAATGGACCGTACCGCCTCGGTCATCGGCTTGTCGGTCTTCGGTTTGTGACTCTTTCAGCGTGCACTTTTTTTAGGTGCACTTGGTTCCACTTGAGTCTCCAGAACCGGCTCTGGATCTTCCAGGTTCACCGTGTTTTACATATCGAACAACGCCGGTTTACTCCCATACATTTGGTAAATCAACACTGCGTACTTGTTTGGCTAAAGACCGATGTTCCCTAAATTTTAAAATTCTAATTTATGTATTAATATATCAATCTTAGTTTTCTCTTAGTTTAAATAACAATTTAAAGAAGAGAGTTGGAGGGGGAAGAAGAAGAAAAAAAGAAATGAGGTCAAATTGAAAATTTTAAAATTCTAATGGGAGAAAGACCAAAGTAGAACTAAAACATTAAAAATATACCAAAATAGGACTTCCATGTTTTTTTTCCCAAAACAGGACTTACATTACCAAACATGGTCATTTACATTTCAAAAAAAGTATAGTAATGTGCACATGTACACTGTCACATTACCACAGTGCAAAGTCACATTACCACAGTGCAAAGTCCTATTTCGGGAAAAAAACATGAAAGTCCTATTTTGGTATTTTTTTCTATGTTTTAGTCCTATTTAGGATGATTTCTAAATTCTAATTTAGCCCAAATGACCGGAAGTTAACCTGGAAATGGGTAAATGGACTTTTAGTGAAAGGATTATGTAAGTTTAGGTATTTTTTGAAAGGATTTAAAGTTTAGATACCACTTTGAAATTCCACTAAAATTTGGGGTACAAATTTATCTTGGACTATGGTAGGGTGCCACCACATGGGTGCTAGGGGTGAGCATGGTACGGTATGGTACGGTATTTAGCTCGTACCGATACCGTACCAAATATTTCGGTTCGGTATGGGATTTTACTCCGTACCGATCCCGATCCCGAAATATCGGTTCGGTATGGTTCGGGATGGTTCGGTGTCGGTTTCGGTACAAATCGGGATGAAGATACATACATACTTTACACGTTAAAATTTAACAATACCGTTTTATTTTTAAAAATTAAAAGTGAATTAAAATAAAAAAACATGAAAAATTTTTTAAAAAAATGAATATTTAAATGCAAGAGATGCGTATCAAAAACTTATTTTATACGGAGTATTTCACAAACTAAAAAATGAATGACAACAAAGGAGTATTTTGAATCTTTGTGAATACTTTTATGCTCATACACAATAATTAAACTCAAATAAAAGTATAATTTACACATAATAAAACTTGAACCATTTTTTTTTTAAATTATAATTTAGTGAAGAATATATAAAAATATTACTCCGGGGTATTATTTTTATAATATTTTAGTATATATGTTCGGTACGGGATTTCCAGTATGGGACGTCACCTCGTACCATTCTCGAATACCGTACCGACCATTCGGTTCGGTACGGTTCGGTTCCTTCTCAGTACTTTTTCGGTTCGGTATTTTTCGGTTTGGTATTCTCGGGTTTTTCGGGAAATTTCGGTATCGGTTCGGTACTTGCTCACCCATAATGGGTGCTACCATGGGTGCACCCATACTTCGCACAGACAAACATTGACGAAATTTGTCTGTACGACACAGACAATTATCATCTGTGTTTGTCTGTGCGAAGCATGAGTGCACCCACGTGGTGGCACCCTAGCATTTTCCTTCCTAGAAGCATAGCTATATTTTGCTAACTGCCAAATCAAGAGCTCAAATCAGATGAGATTATGGACTTTTTGAATCAATAGCGATATAATCTTCTCAGGAGCTCAAATAATAAGGATGAGATTATGGACTTTTTGCAGAGCAATTTCATCTCACCCAGCAATGAATGCCAGACCAGTCTCAGCTTTCAACTTCAATCGCTTACTCCAGCTTTCCAGCTACTTCAAAGCATTGCGCGCTGGAAAACAGACCCATCTTCAGATTGTTATGCATGGTTTTTCTGAGGATTCCTTTGTTATCACTAAATTAATCCAAATGTACCTTGATTGCGACGATATTAGTTCTGCACGCCACCTGTTCGGTGAATTGCCACACCAGAATGTGTTCGCCTGGACTGCTTTAATTTCATTCTTTTCCCGCAATGGGCTGTTTTATGAGTGTCTCAGTACGTATCACGAGATGAAACACAAGGGTGCTTTGCCCGATGAGTATGTGTTTCCGAGGGTGTTGAGGGCGTGTTCGTTGCATTCCTGCTTGGAATTTGGGGTTAAGGTTCACAAAGACGTGATTGTGGGTGGTTATGAGGGCAATGTTCATGTAGGTAATTCTTTGGTTGATATGTACTCTAAATGTGGGGACATCAGGAGTGGTAGATTAGTTTTTGATTTGATGATGGAGAGGGATTTGTTCTCTTGGAATTTGATTATTTCTGGATATGTTTGCAACAATTTGCTTGGTTTGGCAGTGGAGACGTTGAATTTGATGAGAATGGAAGGTTTTGAGCCTGATATAGTGACTTATAACACTTTAATGGATGCTTATTGCCGCATGGGTCTTTGTGATGAAGCTCGGGAAATATTTAAACAGATCAAGAACCCCAGTGTAGTCTCATGGACAACTTTGGTATCAGGTTATTCCAGAATAGGAAACCATGATGTGGCTCTTCAGATTTTTAGGAATATGATTAGTCAAGACAATGTTTATGCTGACGTAGATTGTCTTTCAAGCGCCCTTTCTTCCTGCCAACACATGGGGGCTTTAAGGAATGGACAAGAAATTCATGCATATGGAATTAAGGTGGGACCACTGTATGAGTTTTATCAATCAGCTGGACCCGCCCTCTTATCTGTGTACACCAAGTGTGGAAAGTTTGACTACGCGAGGCACATATTTGACGTGGTGGATAAATCCGATGTTGTTGTGTGGAACGCAACGATTCGTGGGTTTGCTCAACAAGGGGAAGGGGACTTGGCAGTGGATTGTTTCAGAAGGATGCAAAACATGAGAGTTAAAAATGACCCGACAACAATATCAACTCTCTTGCCTCTCTGTGACTTGAAATATGGAAAACAAATTCATGCCTATGTTTACAGAGGATGTTTTTGTGATGCCGTGCCCGTTTGGAATGCACTTATTTACATGTATGCAAAATGTGGAGGAATTGAACTCGCATACACTGTATTTTCTCATATGGGTTATAGAGACTTAGTATCCTGGAATACAATGATTGGGGGATTCGGAATGCACGGTTACGGAAAATCTTCTTTAAATCTCTTCCATGAGATGAAATCTTCTGGCATTTACCCCAATTCATTGACATTCACTTCTGTGCTATCAGCATGTGGTCATTCTGGTCTTCTTGATGAAGGGCTAGAAGTTTTCCAGAAAATGACACAAGATTACAAACTAAGTCCTAGAATGGAACACTACACTTGTATGGTCGATTTACTAACAAGGGCTGGTAGGCTTGACGAAGCTATTGACTTTATCATGGAAATGCCCATAAAACCAGAGAAGCAAATCTGGGGTTCTCTATTGGCCGCTGCTTTAGCACACCAAGAATTAGAGATTGGAGTTTTAGCTTCGGAAAATCTAGTCAAATTGGAGCCTGAAAATGCTGGACATTATGTGACTTTGTCGAATTTGTATACAAAATCTGGAAGATCAGATGATGCTTTTGCGCTGAGAAGACAAATGGAAAACATGGGACTGGTAAAGCAGTTTGGATGGAGCTTGTTATAGTCTTTTTGTCACGTGCTACATTATGCAATAATCCTTAATTATGAAAAGAAGACTCCTTTTGGATTCAAGCATGGGTGGCCGAACTCATCGTCTATCACAAGAGACCCAAGTATTGGCAATCTTTTAGCTTGTCACTCATATGCTAGCCACACTTGTACACATTTCCACTGCAGGACAAAATTCCATGTAGACTCTGTGTACACTGCCTAATGGGGAAGAGCATAAGTACTTCAAAATTTCTTTGACTTTCCTATAATTGTCCTCATTCTTAGCTTGACCAATTACACTTGTGGAAGGATTGCCTTGAATAATCCTCTTGTCTTGCTCCATCATCATCATCCATCTTATCTCATTGTCAATCCAAAGGTTGGATTCAACCCATCATTTATTACTCCTCATCAGCAATTAACGCCGTTTCATACTTTCTTTTTCATTTCACGTCTTGCTCTCCCATTTCTCTTGAAGCAGGTCTCCTAGAGCCCTTGCCGGCAAAGACAAACAAGGGCTCTAAAGCACCCTGACACTCCTGAAGCAGCTCCTGTGCAAACCAGGGGCTCTCCTCCTGGAGCTTTGAAGCTTACCAGCGCCGGCGTATTAGGGGCTCTCCTCCGTGCGGCGTGCGCTATAAACTTTACCGGCTATGACGAAGCAGCGGTAATTTTTTAGGTATCTGGCAACAATTAGTTTCCATCTTATTTTGAATTTTTCTAGCTATTTAGCATTTATTAGTTTCCACTGATAATGCATCTAGCAATAATAATTTAAACCGCTTGATATTTCTAAGGCATTGGAAACAGTCTCTCTACTTTTAGTGCGGGTAACATCTGCGTACACACACCCTCCCTAGACCCTGGGTTGTTGTTGTTGACAAAGGACGTTGTGCGGCAATGGAGTCTTCTGCAGTTCCACGGCAGCCCTTTGAAGATCCAAGCAACAAATCTTTCCTGACACAGGTATACCCTGCGGCGTTTAAACTTTGGATTCACTCTTTTTAATATTCTTTGAGTAAAATTACCATTTTATTAATTGCTTCAAAGTTCAAATAAGCAGTAGTGTAGACGTGCAGTTCCTCATTAAATTGTAATTTCTACGTTGTTTTTACTATTTTTAGTACTCCCTGATCAATTCGCTACAAGCCTACACCAGTTGTTTTGATTTTGCAAACTGGAGTAAGTCAATGATAATAGCTAAGATTAATCTCTTAAATACCTCATTTATAACACGGGAGATTTCAACCTATAATTCACTTTGTGAAAGTATCATATTTGTGGTGATCTATATGACTATATTTTAGAATAATTCCACGACAATTCTTTGAGCACTCCCAGTCTTCAAAATAATGAGGGACTCACAACTTTATGCTAAGAAGTCTAAATGTGCATTTGGAGTGCTAAAGGAAGAATATTTGGGACATTATATCAGTTCTGAAGGAGTATTTACTGATTCCAAAAAGTTACAGGCAGTCCAACAATGACCCACTCCTAATATAAAACAGCTTAGCAGATTTTTGGGTCCAGCTAGATACTACAGGAGATTGGTTAAGGGTTTTGGTAATATATGCAAACCCCTTCATGAGTTGTTGAAGAAGCATTTCATTGGGGAGAGGTATCTTCTACTTCTTTCAGCCAACTTAAGAAGGCTTTTATATCTCCTCCAGTCCTAGCCATGCCAGATTTCACTAAACCATTTGTAATTGAGACAGATGCTAGTGGAAAGGGAATTGGTGCAGTGGTAATGCAAAGACATCCTACTGCTTATATCAGCAGGTCATTAGCACCCAAACATCAAGCCATGTATGTATATGATAGGGAGCTAATGGCTTTGATCTTTGCTATAACTAAATGGTCTCATTATTTGTTGGGAAAACAATTCATTGCCAGGACAGATCAATAAGCATTGAAGTATTTGTTGGAACAGTACATCCATACAGATTTTCAAGTTGCAGGGATTAGTAAGCTAATGGCTTGTGACTTTGTTATTGAATACAAAAAAGGAACTGACAACAAAGCAGCTGATGCCCTTTCCAAAAACGTCAATGCAAAACTCTTAGCTGTATCTATTCTTACACGTGACACATCTCTACTCTCCCTTATTAAGGACTTTTGGAGGAATGATAATACTCTGTAGGAAATCATCACCAACTTACAGTAGCAACCCCACAAGTCCTTCACTTAGATTAATGAACAGCTGAGATGGAAGGGCGGATTGGTGGTGGGTAAAGGGGGGGTCATTCAGGTACGGATGCAACTATCAAAAAGCTGCAAGCCTTATTCTACTGGAAATCTCTTCTAGAAGATGTTAGAACTTATATCAATAAATGTGATGTGCCAAAGACATAAATATGAAGCCACTGCAACCCCTGAATTGCTACAACCCTTACCTATTCCTGGAAGAGTTTGGACTGACATTTGCATGGACTTCATTGAAGGTCTACCTAAAGTCCAAGGTAAGGAGGTTATTTTGGTAGTAGTTGATAAACTCAGTAAGTATGGACACTTTATTAGCCTGCAACACCCCTACACTGCTCAGGTAGTAGCACAAAGGTTCTTGGATAACATCTTCAAACTACATGGTCTGCCAACAACGATCACAAGTGACAGGGACCCTATATTTCTTTGTGACTTTTGGCGAGAACTATTCTCACAAATGGGAGTTTAGCTGCAAAGATCCACTGCATATCTTCCACATACTGATGGACAAACTGAAGTCTTGAATAGGACTCTGGCTGATAAACATAGAACAGACAGGGGATTTGAAGTAGGAGATCGGCTTTATCTTAAACACCAACCCTACAGACAGTTCTCAGTGGCTACAAGACACTTCAATAAACTGGCAGCTAAGTACTATGGTCCGTACTTAATTGATGCCAAGATGGGTGCAGTGGCGCACAAATTACTAATCCTTGCCCAGGCTGCTTTACACCACACCTTCCACGTTTCACAACTGAAGAAGTGTCATGAAGTCCCTCCAATCAACAATCGTCCTCCTACCCTTCATTTGTCCAGTCCAAATTGCCATGAGCCTCTTCAAATTCTGGAGCGAAGGTTGGTTGAGAAACGTAACAAAGCTGTGGTACAAGAGTTGAATGGACGGGACTTGGTGCTGATCACACTACTTGGGAGTACTTAACAAAGATCCAACATCGTTTTCCATCTTTTCAGACTTGAGGACAAGTCTGTGCTGAAGGGAGGGGTATTGATACAAGAAGAGGCATACAGATGCTGAGCTGGATAGTTAGTTACGGATGAGCTGAAAATCCTAACTAATTCTGTTTCATTTCTTCTTGTGTTACTTTTGTATATAAACACCTGCATCTTGTAATTGCTGGATATGAATGAAGAAACACAAGTCTTCTTCTTCCTCTTTTCATTTATCCTGTTATTCTCTCGGGTTGATACCTGGAATATCAATCGATTCTTCGAAGTCTGTTCTTCCTAGAATCTGTGTTCTTTGTGCATCAAAACCCTTGTGTTATACTGGACATTTTTGAGAAATTACTTAATTAGCTAAGTATAGTTATATCTTGCTTTCTTTACTCTTAGGGAGCATTATTTGTTGATATAATTATACGTAGTATTTTTGTAGAAAGCATTAAAATTAGAAGTGCCAAATGAAGAAAGCGGTGATGAAGATTGTGAGGACGAAGATGACCCTTATGATCATATTTACCAGTTAAACATTATCCCCGGGTTTAATTATTTTAGCTAATTTAAATGTTTATTTTCAACATTACTTGATTTTGGTTGATAATTTGTACTCCCTTCGTCTCTAAATAATTTACACATTTCAGTATTCAAAAATCGTAGGAACTTTTGTTTATTTGCGTGTTTTCATTGATTATTTGATGAAATAAAATATTTTTGTCGCCTTTTGTGTAGTAGAATTTTTTTTAAATATGCAAGTTTTAATTTTTATCTATATACCAATCTTTAAATAAAATAAATTAAAAAATTAAGATTTACTTTGATTTGCATAAAGTATAAGTCGTTTAGGGACGAAGTGAGTATTATTGTAGTGTGTAGCCACTATTAAGCTCACTTTTTTTTTCCAATGGAATTATATTTAAGAATTTGGTATTGTTGGAACTTACGGAGCAAAAGACCGATTGTGATTAGTTTTTGAAAAAACTTGTGTGAAATTTATACTAAATAGTACTAAAACATACTCCCTCCGTCCTAAAACTTTATTCCCAGAGCACTATTTCAACTTCACGGAAATTTATATTTATTTGTGTTTTTTCATGGCCTATATGATAAAATAAAATATTCTTGTCACCACTTGTTTTGTTGAACTTTTGATGTAGTTTTTAAATATGTATGTTTTATTTTTTATTTCTATACCAATATTTAAATAAAATAGATTGAAAAAACTTGGGATTTTTCTTCGTTTTGCGCAACGGGAAGAAAAATTTAGGACCGCGGGAGTATGTTCTTTTCTAATAAAGTACTTGAACTTTTTTATTCTCTAAATAATATTTGAATTATGTCTAATGGTGTAAACAATGTCTAGTGATGATAGACATTTAGTTTAAACAATGTTCAATGGCATTGAGTATTTACTTAAACAATGACCACTGGATATTGAACAATGGTAGTATATTGGAAAATAAAAACATATGGTACTACATTGGAAAAGTCACTATATTGAATCATTACGTACCCCATCCTTCTAAAAAAATCTTCATTTCATTTAATCCATTTTTCATTTATATTAAAAAAAATATTTCTCACTTTTCTTTTTGTTCGTCCAAATTTTTTTTTGCTTCCTATTCTAGCAACATAATTTAATGAATATCTCATTATACCTTGCTTTTTTATTTACATTATTACTTTATTCTATCACATCAAGAGTAAATGTGAAATTTTTTTACATTTTTTTACATTTCTTAATCTCCATATATCAAATCAAACCAGAAATAAAATTTTTGAGCGGATGACATATACAATTAAAAACTACATAATGGTATGTTTGGGAACATGGATTTGGATTTCAAATCTGGATTTGGCTCAAATTCTATGTTAGGGAAACTTAAAAATTTTAAATTTGGATTTGAGTCAAATTCTTCTCATTCATAACAAAGCTTAATTTGAAATCTATGTACCTCCCCTCGTCATTTGAAATTCAAGATTTCAAATTTTGGAATTGAAATACATGAATTGAAAAGAAATGCTAGCTTCCAAACACTACCTAAATAAAATTAAAAGTACTTACGGAGTAATAAAACAACGGCCTGGTTCTATGGCCACTGAGTTTCAGTGGCCACGGAAGCCACTGCCGCAATTCAGACGCCTACGGTGCTCCGTTCGTAAAATTGATTATTCTTACCCCCTCCCTCCCTCCCGGTAAATCTCTCGCCCAGTCTCGACCTCAATTCATCCCCCCACCTGCGTCAATTGCACACCACAAGTTTAGTTGACTTTGAGGTCAAAATTTTAGATTTTAAAGTCAACTATACTTGCGGGTGCAATTGACGTAGGTAGGGGGATGTGTTGGGGTCGAGATTGGGCGGGGGCGTTTACTGGAGGTAGGAATTATTAATTTTACAAATGGATCACTGTAGGGTGGTAGTGTTTTCCATGGCCACTGAAAAACAGTGACCATAGAACCCGACCGATAAAACAATAAAAAACTAAGTGTCTAGGCGCACAAATGAAGAACTAAAAACTAAATTAAAGTACAACAACAACCCAGTATAATCTCACAAAAGCAAAGTCTGAAAAAGGTGTGTGTGCGCAGACCTCATCCCATTAAAAGTAGAGAGACCGTTTCCAAGAGACTCTCCTAACTCAAGTAGCGCGACAAGAGGACAGAGTACACAAAGGGATAAACTAAAATACTAAAACAAATACTCCCTTCGTCCCTAAATAAACTTTCCTTTTTGACTTTTTGAGGATTTAAGGGGAGATATTTTTGTGTTGACTTTCCAAAAATATCATTGATGTGATGTGTAAAAGTAAGATGTGATATGTAGTTTATTAGTAAAAAGGTATGATGTGATAGGTAGGGTATGAAAAAGTAAGGGGT